TAGCTGTAGAATAAACGGAGCAACTGTTCCAGTGAAACATGAAATGGCACTGCAGACACTTGAGCTTGAGGCTCCCAGATACGGGGTGATAGGGATAGATAGATATGCATGAAAGACACAATGCAAATGACATGAAATGGAACGTTGCCTTCACAAGCCTTGACAAAAACTCAAAATCATGTAAAATGTTGTGCTAAAGCGCAAACAAATTCGTTGGAAAACAATAAATGCGGCACAACTGGCGCTGAATGGTGAGTGTGTGGTTGTGTCTGTGAAGCTCAAGTGCGTGCCACAAACAACAACAAGCAAGAAGAAGAGCAAAGGCAACGCCTGATTAATTTTAACTGATAAGCGCGTCATTTGCCTTTGTTTGCCTCCGTGATTGTTGTGCGTGTGTGTGTGCGAGTGTGTAGGCTGTTGCGCAGGCGCAAACATTTACCAGGTCATACACGCCACACACACACACATACACCTGGCACATTCTTTATCTTTATCGCATGTTTTTCTCTTGTTTGTTTTTGTTTTTTTTTTGTGTTGTTGATGAAACGTCGCAGCGCAGTTGCCGTCATCGTAGCCACGTTCAAGAAACAATTACAAACATAAAAGCAAACCATCAACGGACCCATCAGCCATCAGCGCCAGCCCCTGCCCCAACCTTCAGTCCCTGCCCCGCCTCTTCCTCTGTCTTCCTCTCAACCAGGCCAAGTACCCGCTGATAAGCATCGCTTAGCGGCTGCCTTTGTCTTTAGTTTTTATTTTGATTTTTTCTTTTATTTCCTTTTTTTGGAACACGTCGCGCAAATTTCAGCGTAAATTTGTTGCGGCCGCACGTCCTAATCAAGTTGTAGAGCAGCATTTAAGTCTTTGCAGCAACCGATTTAAAGCAAGTTACACCTAATCGCTTGCAGCTGCAAATGTGACGAAAACATAGAGAAAGTGAACAAATGTTGTCATATCGTAGTTAATACATTGAAGTTAAAGTAATCTAATACTTTTTTGAATTGCAGGCACTTGTTGGCATGAACTTTATCTGTACTCTAATCCCTAGCCCATGACCAGTCGCGTTCCATAAGGTAAGTACAGTAAAAGGATAATTTTCGTAACTTAACAGTTACTCAGGCAATCATTCAGTCGAGTAACCATTCATTCAGTCTAAGTCAATCTATCTATTGTCTATCAATCAGTCAACCTATCTATTTCTTAATCAGCTCAATCAATAAATTAATTTTCAATCAGCTGTTCCATCATTTTGCTACAATTAATTCGTCAATCAATCAATAACCATCTAACAATTCCTTCATTAGCCAGGCACTAAAAAGTATTCTTTCAATCAGTCACTCAAAGATTCAGTTGAAATTTCAGTCAGTCTATCAAATTAGCTCTGCTATTCAATCAGTCAATTGATTTTGCCGTCAGTCAATCAACATGTGATTCAGCCAGTCAGTCAATCAACGCTGTAAGCTGACAATCAGTCACTCAGTCAATCTATTAGTAATATATCTGTAATGCAGCTAGCGTATCAGTCACCAATAAGCCACCAATCAATCAATAACTTGGTGAGTCAATCATAGAATCAAGATTCAAGAAATGAATCCTTCAATCAATCAATCTCTCAATTCAAACTGTTTTGTATAAAAACATCTGTCATAGACATCCCTGAGCCCAATTTACCCGCTCTTGTGCATTTCCCATTTCTGCAGGGTATTCAAAATCCAGATTCAAGCTAAATTGGTAACACTAGGAGGCAGCGCACACAGATACACAGATTGCGGGGCTGCTGCACATAAACATAATTTAGCAGCAGTTGCCACATAAACTGCAGCAGCAACCTTTAAGTTATGAGCCCGACGCGCAGCCAGCCGCGAGTTCATTTTGCAATTATAGACAAGCAACTAAAGTACCCCTCTCTTCCTCTCCCTCTCTCTCTCTTTGCTCCTTTTAGCTGCACCTGCTGTGGCAGGCAGCGCAGCGCCTTGTCGATCGTTCGGCTGCACCAAATAAATTGCTGCTGCTGCTGTTGATGCTGCTGACTTTGTGCTCTGCTCTGCTGCTGCACTAATTTATGGCTTGCTGCATGAACGAGTGACTGACGGACTGACTGACTGACAGACTGAATGACTGACGAGTCAAGTTATTTGCCTGCCTGGTCTGCTGTTCGTTCCATCAGGACTGCCATTTTGGGCTGGCTTGGCATTTCGCTGGCCGCCAAAATTGGTTGACAACGATGGCACGAACGGCTGCCCAGCGATAAGTATCTTACAGATACTTTGGGCACGCATTGGCCGAGCGTGCATCTACAAGATACTTATATCCATAGCCAGCCTTGCGTATAATTTGCGCCTTGCTGCCTGCTCTGCATACAAAATTAGTTGCAGATACTTTTGTATCTTGCCCAGGCGCTTACACAGCCGCAGATACATTTGTATCTTTAGCAGTTCAGACAGTCAGAAATCCTTTAGAACAACATTCAAACTCAATTAAATTTATGATTTTACATAAATAACTCAGCTCAGTTGCATTTGCATCTGGCTGCAGCTGAACCGCAAATTAAATCACAATTTTCAATGGGCTACAAAGTCAAACTTGAGATACTTTTTGGTGTAGGCGGCGTCTATACTGAGTGTGCGTGCGTGCGTGTGTGTGTGCTACTGGTTTTTAAAGTCTATTTGTGGCTATTAAATTTGATGAATAACCTGGAAAATCAAACACAATGAAACCTCAAGAGTCAAATCCGAAAAGACGCTCGAAGTTCATTAAATTCTGTAAAAATATACATAAAATATGCAAAGGCGTGCCAGGGCCAAAGAGATTATCTAGATACAAAGAGAGACAGGAAGAGAGAGAGAGCTAACTTTTAATATATGATAATTAATTCATTATCGATGCTGTGACGTGAACAGGCAGACAGCCCGACAGACAGGCAGAGAGACAGCCGGCCAACCAGCACAGAGAGACTGAGATGGGCTGCAGGACAAGGCTCTTGACAAGGATTTCACTTGCAATTAAAACGAACAAGACACAAAAATTGCTGGCCAAGCTGGCTAAGCCAACCTGGGACCAGGACCAGGTAGCCTTCATTGATTAAAGCGCGCCTCGACATGGACTAAAAACTGATTATCTGCATATAAGCGACTAAAAATCACAGCCAAGACAACAGCAACGACGAAAAAAGAGAAAAATAATTGCCCAGAACTGTTTAACATATCAGAGCAAGAGATGGAGGCAGAAGAAGTATAGTCGAGTGAGTCTTTTATAAAAATTCAACAACATGTCATTGGCAACAGCAGTGGCTGCGGCTACGGCAGCGGCGTCGTGCCCCAGTGCTGCATAGCTGGGCACCCTCTCCTCGCCAGTCACTGTCTGTCTCACAGTCGGTGCGCCTTCCTGTGCGACTTTGACTGCACAGGACATGGACGTGGACATGTCAATGTCTGTCTCTCTGTCTGTCTGTCTGGTTGGCTGTATGGCTGTCTGGCTGTCTGGCAATGGCCTGCCCCATGGCAACTCTCTGATCCATATCGTTAAAAGTTAACGCTTTAGCGGGCCTTAACATGGCTTTTAGCGTTAATTAACAACGAATTTTGTTTGCTTCTTTTTTGTTTTTTTTTGTTTTTGTTGCTGCGAAATGCAAAATGCAACAACAGCAGCCGAACAAGTACACAGAATGTTAAGTGACAATCAGCTGATAAGCTGCCGCAACAACAGCAACATCGGCCACTGCTGTAGTCAACAGCCAAACACGATAAGCCACCAAGTTAAATGAATATAACTGTGATTCCGCTGCAACACGTTGAGCACAAGCACATAACAGCACTCTAACAGTGAGAAGCGCAGCGAAAGGTGTCAAATGTTATGGTTAACAGGGGAATAACTGTACTGTCAAACTGTGCGTGAGCTGTAACAGTGAGAGAATGCATGTTAAGCTTAACAGTAAACAGAACAGCGAAAGGGGTATCACTTAACAGTGCACTGAAAAGCGCTGACAGTTAATCTAGTCAGTGCTTGAACTGTAACAATGTGATGTGGCCGCCTATGCTAAGTTAACAGTATGCAGAAACCACATTATGTCAGGCTCCAACTGATTTGGAAAGAATTCTATGAAGTTTTACAGTGAGAACTGTCTATAAAGCCTAACAATATCTGTCCTATATTCTATATATAACTGAAATCTGAATTTGTGGGAAGGAAAAAGGATAATCAATAAGCCTTTTGAAGGTAATCAAGAAGCACTTAACATATGTAAATTTTGAAGACAACTTACTTCAAAGCTTCTTAAACAGAACTCTGAAAGAGAGAGAGCAAGCTGTAAGCACTGTTGACATGACATCAACTCAGCAACTTAACAGTTACTTAACATTTAAATAAGACACTGTTATTTATTTTTTATGTTATTTGATCTGGTTTTATTTAAGCAAACTAAAAATTAACAAAAATTGTTTAAACATTTCTTAGAGATTAGACTACAAATTACAAATACATTTGTTATTCATATATATATATACACGCACACACAGATAAGACATACGTTCGGGACTGTGGTTAACAGAGTTCAAAGAACACTTGATGATGTTAATAATGAATGATATGTCATATCTGCGAACTAAACTCTAAGCTCAACTTAAACATAGACTAGACCATTAATTGAACTAAGCTATTAGCTTCAATGGAAGAGTGTACGTAATGCTACATTAAAAAGGAAGCACTTGGAAAGTGTTGAATTGCTGGAATTGCAGAACTTAAGTGGTAATAGTTGAAAACTTGCATAATCTATTTATCAGTATATATATTTATATGCTTTTTTGGAAGGCAAGTTCTTGATTAACTTATGAATCTCTAGGAAGCACAACTTTCGAGTTGAATTCTATATATATATGTACAAAGAACCATATGTTTATCATTTTAGCTGTTATCGATTTATCGTTCATATTCGCATACTTAAATATTAAATCACAGTGATGAGATTTGTTTTTTTTTCTTTCTCCTAAACTTCTTTAGACGTTTGCCAAACAAATTTCGGTTCAGAACCGAGCGCAACGTCTGCAACAGCCAAGGGTAGACACCCGATAAATATCGATCTACGTTTTATCTGGGCGGGCAGAAGCTGAAGTAGGGAAAGAGTTGACAGTGCAGCGAATAGAAACGCTTTGGATCTGTCTTCAGATCGAAGCCATCCACTTTGATCACATTCCATTGATTCTTCATGTGGGCATAGCTGAAGGACACCTGATCCTGGAATGTATCGGAGCGTATAAGCTCCATCGGCTCCAAATGCGAATGGAAATTATCGACAACAGTCAACGGCACCTTCAGCAGATGCTCTGCAAAAGACCAAGAGAGAGAGCAAAGATGGAAACAGTTAATATTACGCTTGATGGGTTAGCATTTTAGGCATTGCAGCTTCACTCACCTATGATGAAACCCATTGTGACGTCGTCCGGAAAGCGTATCTTATCGCCGATGCTAATAAACTTGCCGCCACCTGCTATGGGCAGCATCTTCAGAGTCAAAGCTCGACTTAGGCAGAAGCCAGCGCCGCCTGTGGCAAACCAAAAGGTGATCTTCTTGTTGGTCGTCGCGTTCTTCTGCAAGATGAGAAGAAGTCGAAGGCAAAAGTTAACGGAAGAACTAAATAAATGAGCTGAGTAAAGGATGAACATAAATAAAAATAACATTTTTGAAGTTGAAAGCGGGCATATAAGACTGGGAATACATGGATTTATACAGTAAAGTAGGTAGAGGACATTTAACCTTTAGTTAAGCATGAAAGCCAAGTCCAGCCAGCAATTTCGTTAAGCTCTTTTAAGCACGCTTACAGCGTATGATGCAGTCGTTCACGCTGAATCTACCCTGATTTTGGCAAATTGTTGACCAAAAAAGTATAAAGAAATCCCCAGTTGATTAATTGACCATGTAAATGGGACATGTGCGTTAAGGAAACTTAATACGCAGCCCAAAGACCAAAAGCCTGAACCAAAACCGAAACCAAATCGAATATACGAAGACTTTTGACAGCAGCAGCAGCAGCTCCTCGTGACCTAATGAAGCGTTAAGTTTTTATTTTTTTTGTGGGCTTTCAATTAGTTTGTGGCAGGGATCAGGCTCGATTCAACGATTCGTCGTGGCATGCGGCCCAGCCTACAATAAGAAGTCAGAGAGAAACACTGTTTGCTGCATGCAACAGCATTCATTACGGGATCAGCTGGCTACATATATATCAAATGGATTGAAATGGGAACACAGATCGAGAGAGCCAGCCAGTCCAGCCAGCCCAGCCAGCTAGCCAGCGCTTGTGCTTGTGCTTGTCTGAGCCAGATCATATCGGTTATTAATGATAGCCTGCGCTGGCAGCTGGAAGCCAAATGGCGGCATAGACAAATGGCCACAGCCAGCCGCATAAATAATGCAGCCCGGAGAAAGGCGATCGCCGCTGCCATATACCCGGAGCTATGGACATGGCCATAAACACAGCGTCATGTAATTATTGGTATTGGAAAATATGCCAAAAAAAAATAAGCAAAATGCAAAAAAATGCAAAATAATAGCCAGGCAATAGAGCATATGCGCCTATCAGTTATCCTGTACTAAATGTCAAATATTTATAGCTATAGCCAATATTAATGCTGATCAACTTTGAAAGTCTTATGAATTTTAAAACTATTGCCAATGTTACAAGAGTAGACATTCGTGGATATGATACCCCCTGCCAAAGGTACAGGGTAATAGAAACGAACATCGATTTGCACTTACGTTATCGAGATGTATTTCCAGCGGCGAGGATATGCTCGGCTTGCCCAGATACCAGTCCACCGTGGGGCTATACTCATCCAGCAGTTTCACCAAACGGGGCACATTGACATAGTTGTCATCGTCGAAGTGACAGAACCATCTGGAAACATTACAAATTAGTTAAAATCACAAATTCAATAAAACACCTCTGAGCTAAAGTGTAGTATAGCTCTTATATAAATCGATAGATAATTTATATTTTCAAATATTTTATTCTGTTTTCACACTTGTTGGTTGGATTAGTCGTAATGCAGTTGACGTTGGAGCAATTGGCGCGCATTGCGCTGGGCGTGCCAGAGTTGAATCACGTGAATCTCGCTGTTCTTCACAGTCTATTGGATACGTTGATGAAAAAGATGAACTGCAATAATGATTTGGTAACAATTGATGGCTTTGAGGGCAAGTGCTTGGAGAGGCTGCTGGAACGCTCGAAAATCTCGCCGCTTCCATTCGATTTGGCCAACATTGAGCCAATTTCCAACGAGTTGGATAAGTTGGGGGCTATGGAGAAGCGTTTGGCCCAAGTCGAATCAAAGCTGGAATCCCACTTCAAGCAAATACGCATCGTCAACAAAGTTAACTCGAAGCAGTATCGAAAACGGTTATGGGAAGAGTACACATCACCATGTGAGGATCTGTGCACCGTTTGCGACGAGGACAACAAGATTGCCTGTAGTCTGCTACAGAATATGGACTTCATGAAGAAACTATTGCGACGCATTGCCACGCCGCTACTCGAAATGATAGAGAAAGTGCAAGAGGATCTGAATAAGTTCTATACAACGCTGGATGCATTTTTGAAGAAGACACAGAGGCTGTTCGACCGACTCGAAATGGTCAAACAGTGCGTCATCGAGATTGAGAATTTGCGTGAATTGGTCAAGGAGTATAATCTAACCTTCATTGGCACCATGGAGGAGCTGCAGGATATGCTCGATAGTAAATTGGATAAGGTCCATATGCCGGCACTCAAGAAGTATATACGCGATCGTTTCGATAATATCGATAATCGTTTGAGACTGATTGAGGAGAAGGATTCGTGTCCACGTGCTGCTGGATTCCTTCATACAGACATTGCTTGCATCTCCTGTGGCAATAAGAACATCGGCGTCGATGTCGGGCCACTTAACATTGGACCTCTGCCGGATGCCAAACGCAATAGCAAATGCCCGACGATGCCGCTAAATTGCCAAAAGAACTTTTCCTCTCGCATCCACGATAAGGAGCCTACATTGATGGTGCGTGTTCAGAACCTGGATTTGAATGTGATTGCCCAACGATTGAATCGTCAAAGTTCAGCGAAAGTCTGCAAGCTGCCAGAAGCCAATGATACCATCTACGGCGTACGCAACTCCAACTATTCAGTCTAAACCCCATGTCATCCCTATTTAACTTTTCAAGTTCGTCCAAAATCGTTAACGTTTAGTAATGCTGACAACCAGTTTTCTCCTTCTGACCCAACGACGTCTGTCCACAGCGTCTCATACACAGTTCTTCAGTTGCGACAAAAAAAAGTGCACTAATTTAAATGGTAATTACCGGTAGTCCAGTTCTCTTGGACTGACTCAACTTTAGCTGCAGCTGCATACGCCGCGAAAGGGGGATTAGCTGGAGTGACAAACGATCAACCGTATCCGGTAGCCCGCGCAGTTCACCTAATGATGCCATTAAAATGCAGCCGAGGCTATCGAACGGGTTCTCTACCGCACGCACACACGCAGCGCCAGAGACAGTGGTAGAGATAGAGATAGAGATAGAGACAGAAGAGAAACGAGGTAACTTGGCTTGGTCATAAAGTTTGCCAGCCTAATGGAGAAATCGGTTGAGAGCATTCAAATTTCCTTTAATAAGTCAACATTCGTAACGGGTTTTCCTTATCTACTTAAGTGATTCCAAATAAATTACCTAGAGTTAATTATAAACTGAGAAAGAGTTAACTGGAGCTATAAAGTAACTGATGTGATATAAATATAAATATAGATTATGTGACTATGCGGAAGCTTGAGCTAATAAACCTAGTTTATATACTTTTTATTATAGTTGCGAGTGCGTTTCCATATTCGATTTGGGAATTCAATAAGGTTATTGGGGAATATGCTAATAAATAAATAAATGGCTAGACTCGGGTAATACCCTCGGAATTGTTCCTTAAGCATGTTCTTTAGGCAGTTACAACTGTAGAACTAGATTATAAGATTTAGGTACTTATTATTTAATAATGCCACAAAAGATTTATAAATTAAATGGACAACCAGGATTTGATAACAAAACCAATATTGATGAAAAGATCAGAGAAATATTTAGAAAATAGTGCTTAAAGTGACTTAAAGCAAATTACATAAATCAACTAGATCTTGATAGTTCAGACTAACCTAAAACATCTAAAATCTATCTTCAACTATCAACATATTCTCATCTCAAGAGATGAACAGCTCTTAAGACTTTTCATGAGCACTTAATCAGTAACGAAAATTCTCTTTGCATTGCCTTAACTTATCATATCTCATATGATAACAACTTTTAAATACCTCAACTAAATCGCAACTATAACTTAAGAGCTGTTAGCTGCAGCTCAGGTTTACTTTTTCCTTGTCGCACATCTTTAAGCTGTCTTCGGATTAGAGCTGAATTAATCCACCTAAAAGTATCTATAAAATCTGCTGCGATATCTTTAGGCATACGCCCGAGGCTAAGCAGCCCCAACTTCTAGCTAGCACTCTGCCTCTTTCTATCTGCTTAACGGCCTCTCACTCTCTTTCTCTTATGGTAAGGAGTTCATAACTATTCAATAAAATCGAAGCGTCTGTTGGCGTCTGTTGGGTAATTTAATATAATTTTTTATTACATAAGCCGCAAGGAGAACAGACGCTTAACAGCGAGGGGCAGGGTTTTGTGTCTTCACTTTTCTAAGCGCTGCGGCAGCTCAGCTAATCGTGGCACTCATAAATTGTTATTGTTGTTGCTGCCACATGCGATACCTGTGCGAAACGGCAGCTGAGTTGTTGTTGTTGTCGTTGGTTGTTGTTTTCCTGTTTGTCGCTTGGCTCTTTTAGTCGCTTCGTGTCGCATAAATATGCGCTTTTAATTTCGCTTAATTATGCGTGCCACAAATGCGCATACACTGGAAGAAATGAGCTGTAACTAATACAAAATTAAGTTGATTTAAGCGGCGTATTTCAACCAAGTTCGATTGTGAAATGAAGTCAAAAGGTTTCATAAAAGATAAATTTCTTATTCTTGAATTGAAGTGTTTATAATCTTCTTGTAAAGCAACAATTATTGAAATGTATACATATATATATATAATATATGGTTATCGAAAATAATACATAAAAGTCTAGAAATAAATGAGTTTCCTGGAGAGTTTTTATTGGCAGCTTTTGCATTTTCCAAAAACTATTTCCTATAAGACTTTGGCTTGTCTAGTTTCTATTTGAGCTCTATTTTGTATTTCTTTTTTTTTTTGTAGTGTAACCTATAGTAGGCAGCTCTATGCCTGCCTGCCTTGTCTGACACCCTCACTACTCTGCTCCTGCCTCCTTTTCTCTTTCCCTCTTTCTCGCAGCTGATTTTACCAAATTGAAATCTAGCTGGCATTTTATGTGTTTGCCTTTATTTAATTAACGCGTTTGTCTACGCTTTTTGTGGCCTGTATTTGGCATTTTATGAAAATGAAAATGAAAATGTTTTCATTTCGATCGCTGGCAGAGAGATAGAAAGGCAGACAGAGAGGGGGAAGGACAGAATGGGGGATGGGAGCAGCGATCGCTGCAGCTGGCCAACAACGTTGGTGGCTTAAAGTGCTGCCGCAGCGTTTGCTTGTTTAGATATTTGGGTCTGTGTTTATCTGGCATCACATTGCAGCAGCAGCAGCAGCAGCAGCAGCTAAGGGAGTCTGTGTGTAAACGCAAAACGAGTGCAAAAACTTTTATTTGAAGTTAGTTTATTTTTTCATGGCAGTTTTCCAATTACTCGAGTTCCTGCTGCTGCTGTTGATATTGCTGATGTGGGCAGCAGCTGTTGCCGGGGCGTAGTCGCCATCGTCTTTTGGTCGACTGCAGTTGAAATGAGTTTATGTCTGGAGCCATAATAAAAAATGATTGACGGGGCACTTCGCGAGCCGCCAATGCAGGCAGTCTTAATAGATTTCGCATTAAGAGTGAGTCGCAGTCGCAGTCGCAGTCGCACTCGCTCTCGAAATCCGACTCGATGTCGGTGCCAGCAACGACAACAACAACTACAACAGTCAGCGTTAAAAGTATTTTGACAGGCAGCCGAGCAAAGGCGGATCGTGCCAGATAAGCGATCGCCAAACAGAAAAGAAACCAGGATGACGAACTGATTTCGTTTCGTTTGTTTTCTTTACTTTGCTGCTGCTGCTGTTGTTGTTGTTGTTGTTGTCTGGCTTTGCAATTAGCAATAAGTCAGCTGTCAGAGCGTCAGAGAATGTATCTTACAGATACAATATATATATATACGTATATTTGCGGATTGATACAAATCAATGTTTGGGTGCCGTGTCACGGGTCTCCAAAACAAGATATTTACATTAAGGCGGGCACTTAAATCAAACAGCGCAGCTCATTAACAACAGCAACAGTTGCTGCGCGCCTGCAGTGGCTGCAGTGGAGTGCAGTGCCGCAAGCGTGACTCACAGATTTAAGAGTTGCGCGCTCGAATATGTCTCTCAATGCTGCTTTGACGCGCTCACTGAACAATTGAAAACGCAGCGGCGACAATTGAAACGCATTTGTCAGCAGCACTAAAAGCAACAACAACAACAACACGATGCGACGATATCGCTGGCGTCAGCAATAACAACAAAAGATACAAAAATGTATCTTGTAGCTACAAGCCTGGCAAATTGACGCCAATTGTCGTGTGGGCGACGCGTAATTGAAATGTAGAGCAAGCGATTTGCCATGCAACAACAGCGGCAAAAGCAGCAATAGCAGCGGCAGCAGTAGCAACATTTTTTTGCTTTCCGCCGGATGCAACAGTTGCTAATGCAACTTCATCTGCATATCCAACCAGCTCCAATTGTGCATTTCCGTTATGCACAGGAAAAAGTAGACATCATTTTCGACTTCAGATTGCGACAATGTCAAGTAAATTTAGCTCCGCTCCCGTCCCTCTTGACTAGCTGCGCCCCTCTTTTGATTGCCTCAATTGAATAATTGTGTGGTGGTTGTTGCTGCTGTTGCTGCCACAAGTGGCAAATAAATGAAATTGATGCGTTGGGCTGCATTCTCTTTGCCCTACTCCCCGGCCCACCCCGGGCAACTGTTGCTGTTGTCGCGGTTAAAAATTTTCTCACAAGCAGCAACATCTGGTTTTTCACATATGCGACAAATGCTTACGAGGTTTTTCCAAGCCGCAAAGAAAACGCATAGAGCGCAGCAACAACAGCAATTAAAATTGTCGCAGCTCTCGCTGCAGCTAAGCCTTAGATGGATTGGTGTTGTGTGTGCATAATAATGCGGCTGTTGCCGCAACTATTTCTGTTTAAACAAAACCCGCCCTGGACTATGATTTTGATGTGGGATTAGCTGCGGGCTGCACCAGTGAGTAGGGAAAAAAGGGGGAAGCACTCGACGCCTGGGAAATAACATTGATGTGCCACATTGCAAGCGACGTGCAACGAATTCCCACGCGCTTTCTCAGCGCCAGCAACAACAACAACACCCACCCAAAATAATTGCAGGCAAAAAAAACTCATCTTGAAAATATATATAAAACAACATTAAGAGCAACGTCTACAACGGCAACAATTGCTGCTGTGAATCCTGTTATGTTTTTTTTTCGAGCACTTTCCATTGAGCTCCACTTTGGCAGCTGATGCTGTGAATATTACGCATAATACGTGTCGTAATTGCATGAGGGACAGGCCGAAAGCAGAAAATATTAACAAAGTAACATCAGACCAAAAATGCCGTTATAATGCCAATAAATGTTGTTCACAAAACGTGCCACAAAATTGCCGAGGCAAAAGAGACAGAAACAATTGCAGATACAGCTAAAGATGTAGGGAAAAGATACAGATACGTTGCAACTGCAGTTGCTGCAGATACAAATTTAACATTATAGGAGATGCAGATACATAGGCAGATACAGATAAAGATATATAGGAAAAGATACAGCTACACAGGAACAGATACATAATACTGTACTGGAGATACAAATATAAAAGTACAGAAACACATGCATAGATACATTTTCCATTTACAGATACAAATACACATACGTAGGAGCTGATACAGATTTACACTTACAGATACAGATACAAATGCAGAGTTCAAGCTAAAGACACCAATGCACAAACAAAGATACAAACATGCAGAAACAGAAGTGCACAGGCACAGATACAGATACAGATACTTGCCACTATCTTAATGCGTCATGGCAAGGGCATGCGCCACGTTTCGCAAATCAGAGATACAAGATACATTCGCACAATATTGGCTAGTCGAAACGCGACATTTGTTTATTAGGTGTGGCAGGCATACGGCACGACCAAACACACCCAAACACACACCCAACGCACACACACACACATACACACAGCATGAGATAAATTAGAACTTGAAACAAATAAATTGAAAAATAAAAAGTTGAAAGCACAAAAAAAGAGAACAGCAACAACAACAAGCAAACAATTTGAAGCGTGCATTTGATTGGCGTTTTATATAAAAAAAACAAAGGCTGCGAGCATGGCGAGTGACTGACTGGCAGATACCCTGTACAGCTTAACGAAACTCAGCGACTGCGATTCTGTTGTTGCTTATATTCCTCTTTATACTTTCCTCTTTTATCTTTCTACTCTACTTATCTTCTTCTTATAATCGTCTTCCAGCTCTACTCTGCTGTTTCTTAGCTAGAAGAAGATACTTTTGCTGCATATCTAAACTTTATCTTCTAGTGCTACTGCCTTTCTTCCTTCTTCTCTTCTACTACTTAAGCTCTTGTAATTTGGAACTCCTTCTACTTTTATACATCTACTGTCCTAACTCTCTGCTTCTACTTTTACCTTTGCACTTCTTCTCTTCTACAACTTCAACTTAAATTTAGCTCTCTGTTACATAGCTGTTGCATGGACACAGTCAACTCTTCCTTTTGGAATTTGTAATGGGTAGAGGGCACACAGAAATCTAATTTATATAAACTTGAATGTCGCAACAGCTGCAGAGGCGGCGCCGACACCTTCTTGGCGCCTGTGTCTCTTATATGTGTGTGCTGCTGCTGTGTGTGTGCTATAGAAATTCCTTTAAGCCGATTTCCCTACAGCTCATAATTAATGATTGCCTTAAGCTGTTCGACTGCATGCATTAAGCTGCGATTCAGAGAGACAGAAGAGAGAGAGAGAGAGGGGAAGAGAGGTAGAGGCGGCTTGTCTTAAATGAAGGCTGATTGACGTGCCAGGTCGAGCGGTCAGTCAATTGTTGTTGCTGGTGACTTGCAGTTGTTGTTGCTGTTGTAACAATTGCTGCCGCCGCTGTTGTTGCTGTTGTAATTTTTAATTAAATTGCACTAATTGTTCGGGTTTATAATAGACATACTGCAATTAGCCCGTCAGCAGCAAGCAAAAGGCGTCGCTTCACTTGAGCTGCCGGCAACAAGTAGTTGCTGGTGCTGCGGCCACATTGCATTGAATGTAATTAAAAGACAGAGTTGAAAGCGAAACAGGCACATTTGGGGCTCAGTTGGCTTGATTTGCATTTAATAGAATGGACGTCCCGCTGCGGGGATTCAATTTCTGCAGCCGCAACAGCAACGGCAACAGCAGCGGCCATATATTGCTGCTGTGCGTAGCAATGGGTCATAAAAGCGCAACAGCAGTTGCTGCAGCCAACTGAGCGCCATAATTGCCCGTTTCAGTGCACGTTAATTAACCTCTTTCCATATTTTGCCAGCGATTGTTGTTGCTGGGTGTTGCAGTTGCTGGAGTCGATGCTGTTGCACTTATTCCAAAAACAACAGCAACAGCAGCAACAAATTTAAGCGTTGCCAATCAAGCGGCACAGGAAACTGGCTGCGCCACCTGATACCATTTCCAGCAGCAGCAACAGCAACAGCAGCAGCAGCAGTAACTCCTGTTGCAAAAACAACAACAGCAACAGTTGCTGCTGCTGCTGCTGCTGCATCATCTTGATCATAACTGCACATTTAGCCTGCTTGCCATTTATTTTGTTTTATTTTTTTTATGAACCTGCTGCAAGTTGCCGGCAACAATTTGTAGCCGCTGCTGCTGCCAGCAACTGTTGCTGCTATTGTTGTTGTTGGAGTTGCTTTTGCTGCTGCATTGATTGCATGCTCAGTGCTTTTATAATGACAGTTTCAAGTTCTAAGCCAAAACGGAGCAGTCGCAAGACTTTTAAGCGAGCTCAAGAGCAACAACAGCAACAGGAGCAACTGCAACTGCAACTGCAACCACAACAGCAACATCCTACTCAGCCGCTCTTCATATTAAGTTGAGGCATGTCCGAGTTGTTCTAGATTTTCAGCTTGCAATACAACAATTTGTTGTTGTTTTTGTTGCTGCTATTGCTGTTGCTGCCAGCGCAATTACAAACAAGCTGAAGAATTTCTAGGCATCTCCTTTGGGCGCTAGTTGAAGTGTCTTTGCAGCTTGAGTCTTTTGCTGGACAAGTTTTGAGTGGCTGCAACAAGAAGGAGAGCAGCAGAAGCAGGCGCAGCAGCAGGCACAGTTGCTGTTGCTGCTGCTGCTGCGTCTTAATTGCGCAAATTAGAACGCGTCGCAGCTGCAACCCGAGTTCCAAACTGGGTGTTTGCTTTGCCACAGATAGGATGCCTGTTGGATAGATTGCTGTGGTCGCTGCTGCTGCTGCTGCTGCGGTTGCTTATTAAAAGCATTCAAGTCTACAATTACAGCAGCAACAGTCGCTGCAATGGGAGTCATTGCACTGGTCAATGCACGCGCTGCCAACATATTTATTTTATGTTTCTCTTATTTCTGCCCATTAAGCTGGCTAAATGTGACAAGGGGGCGTGGCTCCAAAAGGGCACACAAAATGTTGCTGATATTAAATTTGTTTGCGGTATCAACGTGCAGCGGCAGCAGCAACTGAAGTATAAAGAAGACGACCAAAAGTATATCTATCTATAAATGGGAAGCTTCTTTTCCTCAACTAAAACTGGCACTAAAAAAATAATGCTATAAAATATAAATAAATTGAAATATAAAAAATAAAAACTTAAAAAAAAAGTTTGTTAGGTTCAACAACAGATTTCGCTCTTAGACATACTATATTCTATATATATATACTATAAACACTTTATGTATATATGTTCTTATGTTTTGTATACTTACTTTTTGCCGCTCTCGAGAAAGATATCCAGTTCGGCGGACATTTTGCAGCACAGCGCCTTGCGAAAGTGGCCCTGGGAGCATTTCGTGTTTATCAAATGTCCCTCTGCAAGCGAGAAAGAGATGGCATTAGAGTGTGTGCTAAGAATTCGCTAAAGATTGGTAATTAAGCGAAAGACAAGCAATACACATGGGAGGTGTCGAGGGGTAGAGGGTAGACCAGGGGCGGCTGCCATGGCTGAGACCAGAAGCCACATCTATGTTAATTAACCAAAAAGAGCCAAAGCTCATATCAGAGAAGCAGCAGAAGGAGCAGAACAACAACAAGAACGAGACAAACAGTAGCTTGTTAGTGGGGAATGCCGCTCATATCCAGCGGATGCGTTTTGTTGCTCGTTTGACAGACGCCGCCGATAAGGCCAGAGGCGTGGCCGCAGAGGGGGCGGGCGGTGACAGAACTTTGAAAATACAAAAGCAAACGCAAAAAAGCGAGCGCAAAAAGTTGTGCGCCTTAATTGGATGAAAATTGTTGAAATATTTAAAGCACACACAACAAACTGGACAAAAGGACAGACATTAACTATATATCCTTTTGTACGCCAGACAAAATGCAGAAGAAGCACAAGCGGAAGCAGAGGCAGTAACTGAACAACACATAACTCAAAAATGCAGACTCTCTTCTTCTTCCTCTTCTTTTTCTTCTTCTTCTGTTCGCTGCGTGTTTAGTTGAAAATCCTTTTTGGCTCTAATCAAAATGCCAGCAGCCAGGCAAAGGATCCAGCTTCAAGAGGCTGTGAAACATGAGATCTGCCCGAAGCAGAGCACCAGAGAGAGGCAGCGAGTCTAGGGGTATGCAAAAATAAAATACAATCTTCTGCTTCTTCGTCTCTCCCTTTTTTTTAAATTGAAATTTGAACTTCGTTTTTTTTTTTTAATTAAAACTCTGAAAACTTTATGCAGCTGCACGCAAAAATCGAAGCACGAAAAGGCTGCAATTCAATTAAAATGCGGGTGAGCAGGTAAGCACACACACTCGACACTCACACACACTTGATACACACACACACACACACGGACAGCCTAAACTTTAATCGGTTTTCGTTCGGGGCAGACAGTGGCCAAGATTAGGCGTTCGATGGGGCGTGGCCGCGTCGCTGATGTGAAATCCAAATTGAGGCCAAGAACGGGGTCGGACAAACGTACCCAAAAAAAACAAAAAAAAAGAGGAAAGGGTAAGAGGTCGACAGGTAACTCCACGCTGATAAATATGCATTAAGCCAAAAAACAATTCAGTTTTTTTCTCATTCTTGAAATTGAAAATCGAAGCGAAATGGTAATCGAAATTTGTTCTTTTTGGCGGACAATGCAAAAAAAAAGTAATTTTATATCTTTTCATTTCCTTTTCATAAACATATTTATGAAATACTCACTTGTCTTCTCCTGATAGTAATGATCGTCGGTGTCTGTGAAGAACCAGGTCTGTAAAGATGTTAAAGAAATTTGTTTGAATATTGTTTGAAGCAGCGAAATGATGTCATCAAATGTTGTAAATGGAAGTTCAGGTTGAGCTGGGCTGATTTTGAGTCTCCATGTGAGAATTTTTGGTAGATTTAAGATAAAGATACCCTAGCTGAGATCACAAGATGGGAGTTTATATATATTGAAAGGCTGCTTAAAAGATTTATGCTAGGCTTATATAAGAAATATGGAGAGAGAGTGGGGACATCGATAAGAGAGAAGGAGAACTTATGAGAGAGATAGATCAGAAAGAAATATCGATCTAAAAGGAAGATGTGATATAGTATTTAGTACACTTAAAGATCACTTTTTAAGCCGATTCATTATATATTATTAGCATTAACACCATTTGTAAATGAAGGCAGATCCCTGCACTTGCCTTAACAAACTAGCCTTAAGACTTTGTGAACTGTTTACCTACAAACAGATCAGATAGACCAATATTAAAACTGATTTCCAAATCAAGTATGCATCTATATATACCCTATAATTTCGAGCACATTCTCTACAGTGCGCTGTCAATTTCATGAGCAACAGTAAACCAGCCGCTATACCATTATTTATAGCATATGATTTGCATATGTTGTAAGTTAATCACAATTCAAGTCATGGGAACATAGACCTACTTTTTCCGACCTTACATTTAGTCATATATATATACATATTACTTTGGTGTCAAGACTAATCTACATATAATTATGCCAGCGTCTGCTGTAAGCCCCGCATTCCTCTTACAAGAAGTGAAGAAGCGACAATCAGATAAGAAAATTTCCCACACGCTCGCTGAAATCGGAGCAAAAGCAAAGCAATTGGAAGAGAGAAACTGGCCATAAACTGGACAAAGAAGTAACTCAAGCAAAAAGAGAACAAAGTTTAAGAAATATAGTTCTAGTTGGGTTCGCCTTCTTCAAGGGATAAGTTAAGGTAGTTCTGGTAATTGTTCTACTTGCTTCTTGTTGGTTTGTGTCTTTTATGCATCGCTGCTCTGCTAGGGGTTTCTATTTGAGGGCTATTTGCTTCACACGAATTCAGTAAGAAACTTTAAATTGTGTTCCCTAAGTACTTTTCGATGCCAAAGCAGACAGTGGGAATGCTGCATCCCTCTCTGTCTCTGCCTGCCCCTCTTTGTAAGTATTCTCGGTCTAACTGTCATATCCAAAAACCTAATTGCCCAAATGACAGACGAAAAAAGTTCCTGCGGCTATTTGAAAGTCTGCCTGCGCTTCTCTTGTTGCTTCTCTGTCTCTGCCTCTGTCTGTCTCTGCTGCTGCCTTAGCTTCTTTCCCTGCAAACTCTGCTTGTCTCTCTGCCACTGCTGCCTTAGCTTTTTTCCCTATGCTGTCGCTCAGCTTCTTTCTGTGCTTCTCCCTCTCTCCCTTCTCGCCGTCGTGTCGCCGTCTACAACTCAATTGGTTTTGCCTTTAATAACTATTTCTTCGCCTGTGTCAAATCAGGCGAAAATCGTTTTAAACCATTGACAACAACACGAAGCACACAACAGCAACATGTTGTTGTTGCTGCTGTTGCTGTTAGTGCCACGACAGCAACATGCGGCAACAACAATACGCCCGCTGCACAAGCATTTTGGCCAAACTCGACTGTGTTTAAGAGTTAGAAAGTCAACGTTGCCAACGTTCAAGTTGTTGTCGAAGTAGTTGTTGCTGTTGTTGTCGTCGAGTCGAGTTCTTTATAACACACCAGCAACAGCAACTGCTGAAAACTTTTCGTCGTCGTCGTCGTCTGCTGAATTTTCATGGATTTTCACGAGATTTTATTTGAGTGCGCGCACTCACTCTCTCTCTATCTCTCTCTCTCTCTTTCTCAGTCTCTCGCTGTTTTGGCACTTTTCATTTTTCGGCTGCTGCTGCTGCTGCGGGGCAAAAAATGTTAACACCATGTTGCAGCTAGATATTGCTGTTGCAGTTGTTGTTGTTGCTGCTGCTGTGGATTTTGCTGCTGCTGCTGCTGCTGCAGTTGCACTCGCACTTGACTCGCATTTAATTTATGTGACTGTTCAAACTGTTGACAAACAACATTACAACATGTTGCAAATTTATGTGGCAAGTTGAGCGCTCTGATGCAACTGCCACATAAATTTAAGCATAGACTTTAGCCAGACTCGGGATGATTTTTATTCTCTGTCTCTTTCGTTTCTTCCTTTTTTTGTCAGTCTATTGGCCCAGTTAATTGCTAACTGACGGTGCGTGGGCGTGGCAGGCAGGCAAGGCGTTGCCTACTCGTAAATTTAAATCGAAATGGGCAGCAGTCGAAAAGGCACTGCAATAGAAATTCTAGGTAATTAGCCAGACAGTGAAGCCTCATAATTGTGAAAGAGCTTTAAGTCTAGCAGGGGATTGGCTTGAAGTTACCTTGTTATATGGATATATGGATATATTATACAATTTTTATGTAAGGTATATATGTCGAAAAGTTTGTATAACTCTTGGGTTTTATAACTCTGACAGAGCCTAACTTAAAGCTAACCTCTAAACTAGACACCTAATATACCTGTGGCATATAGAAAGACCAAGAATATTTGAATATTTTACAACTGAAAGTGCTTGACAGAAGCCTATCTATTTGATAAATTACAGGGTATTCGACTTGCTATACCCGATTCATAGCCATGCAACGCAATGCACAGCTTTACAGGGTACAGACATGTTTGAATATCTCAAGTGCATAACTGCTAACATTGCATAGACAGAGAGAGAGAGAGAGAGAGAGAGAGAGAGCAAAAGAGGGAGAGAGAGAGAGATGGCAAGCGAGAGTCCATAAATTTGCCAACATATTTCGCCTGGGTCAGCATTAAATGCAAAACAAATTTATCATGAAAGCTGCAGCTGGAGTCGAGCTGCTGCTGCTGCTGTTGTTGTTGCTGTTGCTGCTATAGTCGCTGCTGTTGTTGCATGTTCGTTTTGTGGATTTGAATTCTGATTCGGATTTGGGTGTTTTTTGCACGTTGCACGTAGCAAGTTTGCGGCCAGGCTGCGGCGCGGCATGCATTCAATTGGAACGAAGCGATTGCCACAACAATTCGTTATGTTTTCGGCGCCCAAAGAGGAGAGCACCAAGAGCTGGCCAAGAGCAGTCAAACAGTTAACTGACTGTCGCCGGTATAGACCAGCAACAACAGCAACAGCAACAACAATGCATTTTCAATGGCTCCAACTCCAGCTGCAGCTGCAGGCAAAAGGCGGCGGCTAGGCCAAAAAAACCAACATTTTGGACCGTTGCATTGCAGTATTTTGGCTATTTTTTTTTTTTGTTTTTCTTGTTGCTATTTGTGGAGCTGCATTGTTTAGGCTCTCCACACCCTGCTGCAGCCCCCTCTGCGCCCCTGGCAGCAGTTCCACTTCAACAGCACGTGGGGTGCGGTCCGTCCATAGTTCCATTTTACCTCGAGCCGTTGCCAAGTGGTTTGAATTTGCCTCTATCTTTGTCTTGGCTTTGTCTGCATTTTGGCCAAATAATATGATTATTAACCATGATTTTGTGGGGGGCGTGTGCCGTGCGATGGCCAACTGGACATGCTTTCCCAAAAAATTCATTTTAAGCCAGCTGCAGTCGTAGCCAAAGTGAAAGTTCACCAAATCGAATTGAAGAATTTATGAATTGAAAGCTAATCAAAACCAAATTATGGAGCTTTGAAACTATGTATGCAAATACTTGATCTAATGAAAAAGAAAATTAGTCAGGGCTCATTCAAAGATACTTTAAAATAGATAAACTTGACTGAAATTGGAAATCTTATTACAATAGAGAGCCGAAAACTCTGTGGATTGGGGGAATATAGAGATTTAAGTACTCTCAAGTCTTAGTATATACGATATTTATCGACATAAGTTATCGATACTTGAAAACGAATGGCAATAAATACCTACCTATATGGTATGATAAAAGTTATAGTTATATAGTATAATAAAAGTTATAAACTATTACTATTTATCGATAATATTATTAAAAATAAAAAAATGTATATTATAACTATATTCAATATAAAGCAAGAAACATGATATTCATCCAACCAGCATATCGATTGATTTGAGAAAGAGTTCTCTCAATTTTACAGAGTGGCAAGCTGAGCTCTTTTAGTTTAGTTATATTTCTTTATATGCTTGATAGAAGCTTTTATTTTTTTTTTTGTTTTCTTCTTCTACCCTTTCGGCTCCCAACATGTCTGCAAAATCTCATCAAAAAGACTTTCTATATGATGAGAATTCAGACTATAAAAACATTTCTAAGACATAAACAAACTTAAAAATTAAAGATCTAGAAAAAGGCAAAATTTGATAAAGAGATAAAAATAAAGATACAAAACCCGTCGAGATAATTAATTTCTTAATTCACAAAGAAAAAAACGCCATTGATGTAATAATCATTTTTTCTCTTTCGATTGAAAATTTGGAGCTGATCGAGGCAACCGCAAAGCAAACAAATTGAGGGCGTGGCCCAATTTGCGTAATCTCTGCTCGGCTTTATAGATGTTGGCCAGCTGAGCAAAACCACAAAAGGTTCACATTTTAATTATAGGTCTGTCTGCCCCGCGACCCTCACACCTGCCACCAGCTGTTGTTGCCCCCGCCCCCCACGACGGCAGCATGTTGCGGGGCGTGTTGAAAGTTATTTTCTCCTTGTCTTCTTGTTGGTTAATGAGGCGTTTGGCCAAAAAGAGTCCAAAATGAATCAATTAGCTGAATGTGTATTTGATTGGCGGCCCATGCGATGGTAGCTGGCAGACAGAGATGAAGCTAGTGTGTATCTTTAAGATACAAAGATACTTTACTGTGGCAACAGACTTGGCAGCAATTAGGCAGACAAACAACTGTTGCAAATCATGAAATATGTATTTGAATATGTTAGCTTATTTGAAATAGATCGGGGCTAGAGACAGAGTGGGTATAGCATGTTTCCTTAGTATGTTTCCATAAGATACATTTGCCTTAAGATACTTTGACAAA